TATACATTTAATATATATACTATACAATATATACATCTTATATATAGTATATAAGATGTATATATAGCTTATCGAATATAGCTTATATATATATATACTATATATACATCTTATATACTATATATATTCGATATTAAATATTGAATATTAAAATTTAGGTCACAATTCTATAATAAAATTTACAAAGCATTGTCTTCGATATTTTTTTTTAACATCCTTTTGTCTCTAATATCTATTTAATTTTTTTTTTTTTAAAAAAAATATGTTGGGCCCACTTAGCCCGTTTAGCCCGCGGGCCGGGACCGTTTAGCCCGGGACCAAACGGTCCCGGTCCCGGGCCGGTCCCTACAAAAAGCCCATTTGGCCCGGGCCCATTTGGCCCGTTTAATTTGGAACCGGCCCGTGACCGTTTGGACCGGCCCACTTGGCCCGTTTAGGCCCGGGACCGGCCCACTTGCCAGCCCTACTGCGTGGAAATATTACTGTTATGAACACTCTATACTACCTACTCTACTACCCTAATCCTCGACCTCCATACCTTCTTATCAAGGGTCATGTCCTCGGTCAACTGAAGCTGCGCCATGTCTTGCCTAATCACCTCTCCCCATCTCTTCTTTGGCCTACCTCTACCTCTTCGTAGGCCCTCCAATGTCAACCTCTCACACCTCCTCACCGGGGCGTCTGTCCTCTTCCTCGTCACATGACCAAACCACCTAAGCCGTGCTTCCCGCATCTTGTCCTCAATAGGGGCCACACCCACCTTGTCGCGAATAACCTCAATTCTTATCCTATCTAACCTGGTGTGCCCGCACATTCATCTCAACATCCTCATCTCTGCTACCTTCATCTTCTGGACATGAGCGATCTTGACTGACCAACATTCAGCCCCATACAACATCGTTGGCCTGACCATCACTCTGTAGAACTTACCTTTAAGTTTCGGTGGCATCTTCTTGTCACACAAAACACCGAAAGCGAGTCTCCATTTCATCCATTCCGCCCCAATACGATGTGTGACATCTTCATCAATATCCCCATCCCGCCCCAATACTTCAGTTCATAAACCTTTCAAAACCAGCTTAAGTTTCTAGACAAGAAAGAACTGAAATATGATGAAGCTGGCGGTTATGAAATTCAACTTTAGTGCAGTAATTAAATTGCATTTCTCCATAGGTAACATATTCTAAGTTGGTATCTGTGTCAATATATCGATGCTAGGCCAAAAATTTATTTCTGAAGAATAGATGTGATTCGAGCAAACTAACATGCTTGGCTGCTCCTGAGCAAACAGAATGTTTACCAATGACTGAGTTTTTTCAAAAGTGAACAAACTACAATATTTTTTAGGAAGTACCATCTATCTGTTGCAGCAAATTGGAAGACAACATTTGGTGAATATCATTCGAGCTATTTGAAATGAATCTGTTACTGTGGTGAAAGTGCACACTTGGAAATATCTGACGCTCAGTGTTCATTTTAAATGTTTTTTGTCGTTGTCTGTAAACTAATGAGAATAACGTGGAACAAGTCTCAGATTTGTATTTCCAATCTTTCCACCAGTTGATTTGCTCTTCGTGTCTCCGTTCTTATTTGTGTTCAGCAAAGAGTTCGAGTTTACCTTTATTGTTTTTTTACTGAGCTTGTGGTTTTTGTACAACAAAAGGTCTTGTGGTTCTTAGATTTTTCTTCTTTATTCTGTTTCCTTCTTCAGGCACTAAAGTTCTTATTAGAGTTGAAGCTTGATCTCCAACAATCTGTCATTGTGGTGAACACTTGTAAATATTTGAAGTTCTTACCTATTCAATTTAGTGTTTTCTACGATCTGTCTGTAAACTGAAATGAGAATAAGGTGGATAAGGACAGTTTGTATTTCCATCTTCCACCAGTCTATTTGCTTTTTTTTTTTGTCTCTGTTCTTGTAAGATTCTCTTGTTTACAGCAAAGTGTTTAGGTGTACTCTTTACTGAACTTGTGATTCTTGTTCCACAAAATGTTATGGCTGATCTCCATTTAAGAAAAAAAAAGGTAAATGGTGTATCATGGTTTGTGGATTCTAATGGCAGAGCAGTCATTAATTAACAAGGTTCTTAAGCAAAACGGTAAGGCTTTACGAGGTGCACTTTCCAGTAGATTTCGGAAGAACCTGCTTACTATGTTCTGCCAAAGTCTTGAGTAGGCGTGATGAAATGTCAGAGCAAAATGCTATAACTTCAGAGTATATAGCATTTTGGTCAAGACTATAAACAACAAGACTTGAAAGTGAATTGTCAAGCCTACTTCAAACCGTTTAAAGATTAATGTAGCCACTAAGTCTTTTTGTATGTTGGCAAATCTTTGCTGATCCAATTTCCAGGAGCTGAATATAGCACTTTTATATGCAACAATACTTTTGTTCATTTACGGAATGTTCCCGATCGTATTAGATAGGAGCATCTAAACTAATTCATGACTAAGCCACTTTTTTTTTTTGTTTATCAAATCCACTAGGCAAGGTGCCTAGGGCTAGTTTTTATATATATAGAAAACAAAAACAAAATAGTGTAATTGAACTACTACCAACAACAACAACAATCCAGTATAATTCCACTAGTAGAGTCTGGGCAGGGTAGTGTGTACACCGACCTTACCCCTACCCTGAGGTAGAGAGGCTGTTTCCGATAGATCCTCGGCTCCCTCCCTCCAAGAACTCCCACCTTGCTCTTGGGGTGACTCGAACTCACAACCTTTTGGATGGAAGTGAGGGTGCTCACCACTAGAGCAACCCACTCTTGTCCAATTATTGAGCTACTAAAGTAGTAAAAAAGATTGAATAAAAACTAGCCATGTAAAGTCACTGTGCTTGTCAATCCATATAATCCAAAGAGTGCAAATCTTCATCATTGTGCGAGCATTCACCAGTGCCCAGATTTTCGCACAACTATTTTGACTAAGCCACTTCACTCATTGTTTTGACGTTCTTTTTGGTTTCCTTTACCTAAATATTGTTGCTTATGTTATTCTCAAGGGAGCACTAGTCCTGCTCATTTAATTGTTTGTTTGTATGGTTAAAATAAACTAAGGTCCAATACCCTTTTTTGTTAGAACCTGGCACTTAATGGAGGTTGGGTTACCTTTAACTTAGCCCTAGCCCCTAGGAGCTTAGAAATGTATGACTTACATGCTCATCCACAGTTCTCCCCTAGTATTCATTATTAGCATGCTTTTAAAGATATATCACGGATGCTTAGCATGAGCTAATGATTAACAAGTAGTAGCAGTAAAATATTTATACGTCTAGCAATTTCGTTTCAGTTCAAATATGGAATAATATATATCCAACGTGAATCAAGCTCTTGTAAATAGACACGGTCGTAGCATATTTAATATATTTCCTATTTTTCCGTTGTGAATCATTCTTCCATAACATATTTAAATGGTAATATCTTCCTATTTTTTTGTTGGAAACCAATCCAATCCATAATGATTTTTTTCTTTCCATACATAGACTCTTTTATACAATGTAATCCTAGCAAAATTATACTTATTATGTATAAAATCTGCTATTTTCTCTATTTTTGTGTAGGATATATTATACTATTTATAAATTTATTTATTTACCATATAAATCATGTATATCCAAAAAGTAAAATACATATATTTGGTGATAAATAATGTATATATGTGATATATATACATTATAATTCGTGTATTTTAAAAGACAAACCATGTATATACATGTAGATATATTTAGCATAATAGTCGTACATAAACAGTTTATGTGACATATTTTGTTTCTATATTAATACCAAATTTATATTAATAATATACAAGGATAAATAAACCAAAAAATAATGGAAAACGGTACCAACTATATTATACCAAGTATATATGTAATATGTATATAGAATATTATACCAAGTATATATATAATTCGAATGTTATAATTGTATATCCGCACATTATACCTTTAATAGCAAAATGATGATCAGGAAAATTGTAAGGAAAAAGTGAAATGAAGTTCTTTTTCGAAGAACAAGAAGAAATACAAGAAGAATAAAATTGAGATACCATTCATAATTTGGCTGAGTAAAAATATGAAAAATGCTTTTTGATGTTCTAGTGACTAACTGGAAGAAGTCCAGGTCATAGAAAAATGAGATGTGAAGGAACAAGACTAACATATTTAGAAAGATAATCACAAGATACATGGAAAATAAGGACGCAACACATCGGAAAAATAGGGTGGCGGACGCAAGATAGCTATTAGATCCCTTATTTAGTTAAAGCTTTAAATTAGTTGGAAGGTAATACTGATCAAAACTATCCCTTAATTTGTGAGTCTGTTAAAATTTTAAACAACTACTTGATTTTTCAATGCTGCTAAAAAGGTAAAAACAATTGTTGTTTTTGAAATAAACAAAAAATGCTTTTATTTATGAGAATAATTTTTAAAAAGAGACCATCCATGTAAAATCTCTACATACTTAGGGGTGGCAAATGGCCTGTTTGAGTTGTATTTGGGCTGGTCAAGATGACTGACTCAATAAATATGTCATTGTCTAATCCTACCCAAAATTCACTTGGGTTAAGATGTGTTGGGTCAAGATGAGCTAAACAATGGGTTGTAATCCAACCTGCCCAAATTGACTCAAATCTTTGCAATATTCTCAACTGATAGACATGCATATATAAAAATTATCTTATGTTTTAGAATAAATGTCAATTCATGCCAAATAATTTCTTTTCCAATTTGGATTTAGAATTTTATTTGATAGTTGTTCATCTTATAATACTAACAAAGATCAGAATAATAAAAAAGTAGTAAAATTAGAACTTTCCACCCACCCCAACCTATCTCCTACCCCCGAACCCCCACCCCATTCCTAAATAGAAATCTTATTTAGAGTACCTTCTTTTAATGTTGTAGATAAAGTATTTTTTTTCGTTTCAACAAAATGAATATTTTTTTTTATGATGTAAAGAAAGTATTTTCTTTCATTTCAATAAAATAAATACTTTATTTTCATAATGTAGAAAAAGTATTTTCTTTTTCACAAAATGAGTACTTTTTTTCCCTGTTGTAGAAAAAATATTTTCTTTCATTTCAATAACTAGTTACGTTCGGCGCGTGTTGTGCCCGAGCCAAATGATTAGATTGAGCTTTTCTTATAATAAACAAATTAGTCAATAATCAAATATACAAGTTTAAATTTTACCACAAAATTATTTTTCTTGCAATGATTTATTATATTCAGTGCAAGCTGTCACGACCCAAAATTCCAACCCGTCGTGATGTCGCCTAACACACCGGCTAGGCAAGCCGAAATATAACAATAGAGAACCAAAACAACAGAATTTATAAAAATAACTTAAGTATGAAATCTCAATAAGACAAAATACCGCTAATACAAGATAAATTCCCTAGAAAATTGAAAAATACGGAGTCATGAGCTCTACATCGGAGTACAAGTCTGAAAACTAAATAGTAATATAGTCTGAACTGAAATAACAATACATAAGAAAATACACGTCAAAACTACGGCCAAGATAGCAGTTTTACCTCGCCTCTCGAAGATAGTCTAACAAGCGAACCTACTGCCGATAACTGGTCCCCACACCTAGATCTGCACAATTAAGTTGTAGCGACTCAACCGGTCGCTTGGAGCACTTGCATTCTGTTCAGCTATTTGAAGTCTTGAGTAGCTTCATTTGATGTATGATGACTTGTGTGTATCGTCGGTTTCGATTTTCGGGTAATTCGAAATCAGTTTGGAAGAATGATTTTTATGCTTGAATCCTTAAGATGGAAGAGTTGACCAAGTTTGACTTTTTAGTATTTGACCTCGGATCAGACTTTTGATTGTCCCGTTTGGTCCGGATGGTGATTTTGTACATCGGCGTATGCCCGAATTTGCATTTTGATATTTCTAGAAGGTTTCGGCACTGATTGGCGAAAGTTAAAAATTTGAAGGTTTGGAATGTTCATAAGTTTGACCGAGAGTTGACTTTGATGATATCGGGTTCTGTTGATTGACGACCAATTTTGGCCCTCCCTTTTAAAATTAATTTATTTATACTTAATAATTTACAATAAGTATTTTAAAAGTATTTTCTATCAATAAATACCTATTTCTATAAATTAATTAATTATTAATTTTGAAATTAATCACTTAATATTAGTATTATATAATTAAAAATATACTTACTATTTTAAAATTATTAAAATAACTTTTATATACATCACATAAGCCTATATAGTTAATTTAATGAATTACTTCTTAATTTCTAGTAAATTAGGTTACTATGTTAATATTTTGAAATTAGTGTTATAATTTAGAAAAAAGTATTTTTATATTTAATTAATTAAATTAATTATTAGTATATTTATTAATTATAATTTTACTATATTTTATTGAAAATAATTAAGTTTATTTAAATTGATTTCAAAAGGGTAAAAGGCTAAAGGGTTATAATTGTAATTCCTTAATTAAACATAGTGGCTATTCTTTAAATTAATTGCAGCTTAATTACCAAGCCCAAGACCAAATGTGACCCAGATCCAACTCCTTTCTTTCCACTTTGGTAATCCTTGCAATCACATTTGAACCAATCACCGCATGCCACGTCACCCGTATCTCTGACTCACAAAAAAAACACAAATGAATCTGGACCATTGGTCTATCTTATCAATGGTCCGCATTTAATCCTCATTTTCCTATTTTTTTTTCTTTAGTCTTATATGACTTTATCTCCACCATCAGATCAAAGAAATCCAATGGCTCCCGTTCCATATCCTAACTTAAACACAGAGACAGCCCCTAAACCTACCCAAACCCTAATCATTTCCTACCTCCTCTTCCGCCTCTCTTTCCCTTTCCTCTCTCTTTTCTCTCATCTCCTTTAGCCATCAATCTCCAAAAAACTTTGCACAAATTTGTCACTCGAAATCACTCTAAATCATCCCTTCTGTCCCTGCTACACCACGAATC